CACAATTCCATCTACAATACACCTACAGTTACGCTGCAATGCCAATAAAAAGTAGAGGTTGTGTTTAGATCCAGTACAAAAGAAAACTCCCGGAATAGGCCTGACACAAAACAGTAGCATTTCAACGACACAAGCCTTGACAGGTCGTCAATGTGTCAAAAATCTAAAATTGGAAAAGGCAGGCATGAATGAAGACTGGCCAAAATCATAGAGCCACCTAAAGTCTTTATTGTCAAAGCACTTTCTAGCTTCCAGATTTTTTTTGGCATAGTTGCTTCAGTCAAGTTGTGTTGTAGCTCCAAAAAACCCCAATATCTGCTTTTTTGGCTTAAAGATGCTTTCACTGTATTTCGCTCCGGAAACCTACGTTTGAGTAAGAATTTCTGCTGTTTATCGGCTAATTCGAAAAAGCCTGGGTTTTGTTTACCTTCCAAATGCTTTTTGACGTAAGCATTAACATATTCACGAGGGCCGATTTTTAACTGACTGCCATTTCGGACCAGAGCATATTCCGCAAATTCTCAGGCAACGGATAGGACCCCTCCGCCGGAGAAATGGCAGGGTCGCGGCGTTTCCCCAGCGGTGGGTCTCCCATTTTCTGCTCCGGATACCTCCCTTTCTGCTCCGGATACCTCCCATTTTCTGCTCCGGATACCTCCCATTTTCTGCTCCGGATACCTCCCATTTTCTGCTCCGGATACCTCCCATTTTCTGCTCCGGAGGCCTCCCATTTCTGCTCCGGACCCCTCCGATTTTCTCCGGCGCGGCTCTTCCAAATCTGGCGGAATCGCGCCGGGCAAATTTCTCCGGCGCGAGTCCGCCAAATCTGGCAGAGTCGCGCCGGAGAAATGGCGTACCTTTGCAGAAGGGCCGGAGAAGCGTCCCATTTGCCTGCCAGTGATGTCACCGCGACGGACCGTCCATTTGCCCTTCTCTCATTGGTCAACTGGGTCCGGCGCGACTCTGGCAGATTCGGACTGTCCGGCGGAGGGGTCCGGTCGATTGTCTGAGTTGAGTTTGCGGAATATTTTCAGGTCACTGATGGGCCCTGTGGTCTGAAGTGTTAATCATTTGGGAAGTACTTCAAGAGGTGTATGCAGAAGTTTACTCGGTTTACTCAAAAAGTTTCACCGTGAACTAGCAAAATCAAAAACTTCAGAAACCATACGACCCACCAGCGGGTCGTATTGTCCGAAATGGCAGAACACGTACGACCCACCGGTGGGTCGTATTGTCGTGAATATGTTAAAGAAAAACCTGACCTTTTGGTGATGAAGCATATCCGACATCGACTTGATCGCAAGTCTAAGCTCAAATTTATTCAGTAAAATTCTTTTTGCACTATCAGTGCAAGCTCAAGATAAAGTAGAAGCACTCTTTGCACAAGAAGAAATCTGCACATAGTCACAAACAAACCCGCCCTTTGCTTCGTTTCCGAAACATGGGTTGTGCAGCCTAACGATGGTATTACGCACTTCAAACATGGCTTACCAATTATTACAACACTCAGATTTTTGGCAGTAATCATCCTTCAAATAATGAGAATAGTTTGTATTGTATGTTAGCACATAATTTTCTAATAATTTTGGTCAAAGACCGAATTAACTTTGGTGCTTGTACCAATGAATTTTTGCAGGATGATTTCCGTGATTATACCCCCTGCATCTCTAAAAAAATATATATTACGGAATCGAACAATGCTTTTACTTCACTTGTGGGTTCATCGAAGCCGGAAAGCTCTCAGAATATGGCGTCATCTACTGCGTGAACCACGCCATAACTTGTCATAGAGGAGGGGTTCGCGTATAGTTCCTTTTTTGGAGCGATTTTTGCTTCCAAATCCACCCTTTTCGATAGACTTGATTTGTTGCACCAATGAGTCGAGAAGCCGAGTTCCCGCAGCGTCGAAATTCTACTATCCCCCAGCTGACTTGGACAATGCCTTTGAAGGCAGCGTCCAAGCAAATCTGTACCTGTGGGGCTCAGGACCCGGCACATCGTCTAGAAAGCAGGCTGGACTTCGTTTTTGGAGCACAAAGCAAAGGGGATATCGTTTTTGACGAATTGGGGCCGAAAACCAAGAATAAGCGCCATTTAGAATAAAAGCTTTTCGGACAGGTTATCACATGGTTGACATGCTCTATCGTACTTGGCGAAAAGTGCGCGCGATTTGAAAGCGGGGCTAAAATCAACAAATTGCTTGTTTACAGCGCACACAGAATCATATGACACCAAAATTGAAGTATGTGTATAGAAAATTATTTGCGGAAGAATTATGTAAAAAGATTTGAAAACTTGTGTGAAGTTAATACGTTTTCCAAAATTAGATCGTCTCCAGACGGCCACCAGACGATCTGAGATCGTCTGGAGCATATATTTTCGTCACTTCACATAAGTTTCGGATCTTTCCAGCATGGACGGATGCCCCGGTCAAAAATCTATCCCTGAGCAAAAAACATTTTCATATTACCCCCTGTCCGTCCTTTATTATCCTCTTTTTTTTCAGAAAATCGCCATGTTAGTTGTCGCGCTCCACCGCCCATTCCGCGTTGCTGTGAGCGAAATTTTGATCTCTCGATTGCTTTGCTGCAAACACTGTTTCCTTCGTCTGTTCTTCTCGTTCCACGTTCGTTGTCTTCTTCGAGATCCGGTACGCGGCAAACGTTGAGGGATACGTTAGCCGTGGAGCGCGCCAGCGCAATCATTGGCCGTAATTGGCAAGACAGCTGGAGTTGGCCGGGGGGGGGGGGGGGGGGGATTTTTCAGGTGTACTTCGAAGGGATTTCTCCATGTAGATTTTTGCCTGATCTGGAGGGAAAAACAAAAACGAGCATTTGTTCCAAAGTTGTCTTTCTTTGGAAAAATGTTGAGAAGCCAGATGCAATCGAGTGACTCTCTCAATGTACTTACGTTGCTTTTGCTGTTGCTGTTTGCGTTCTGTAGTTGTTCCTTGCTAGTTATTTGTATGGTATCCTGATGTAATAACATAAGAATATCATGCCGTTAACATTTCCTTGTAATGAGCTGGCTGGCTATCTGCTGTATATAACAGATCACCCAGTAGTATTAGTAGAAGACTTTTCAAATAAAAAAGTAGCACTCAGTTTTGCTCGGAATTCAGCAGAGCACATGATGGCTGCCCACAAAGGGATAGATACGGCTTGCAAATTCATAGTTAGTAGAGTATTTCGACAGTGGCACTAAGAATAGAATTCCTATGCGATTCTGTCAAGTTTCGAAAGTTTAGCAGTTCTCCACTCAAGGATAAACGGACTAAGGGTTATTATGTTCAACAAAACACTAACAATTTATGCGAAAAGTCAATGCAGATATTTAGATTTTTTCAAATGGCAGACAATCCCCAAACGAGTTGGTTTCGTTTGAACAGACTAGACTTCACTCAAATCGACATTGAATTCAACTTTTTCAAGATAAAGGTTTAACAAAACATTTCTCGCAAGGAAAGAGTATCAAGCGTGGTTTCTGCACCACGGAAACAGAACACAAACAGACAAAATACTTCAGAACCGATACAGTGTCACACTCATTTCGTCAGCGAAACTATCAGTGGCGGTAGGTTGAATGAAAGCTCCACTCTTTCCAAAATTTCGTGAAACCTACTTGCCTTATGCGGCCAATACAAAAACACTATCACGATTAATCCTGTATATGAGGGTAATTGATGAGGATTCAATTCAGGCCGTCAAGTCACTGGCACAAACTTTTGTTTGTGCATTACCAGCGTCAAAATATGAATAGGCAAAATCTTCTAACTTCTAACAACACTTCCTGCATACGTCCGAATGATACTTAAATCTACATTGATCATCAACTGCAAAATTTCAGCATCAGTATCAGGAAGCAAACGCGAAAGTATTGAAGGCAACATCCCTATGGTATCTACTTCCGCATACCAATTGAAGCTGTACTTGAGATTCAACAGAAAGGCGGCTTGAAAGAGGGCGCACATGCTCCAAAATTCAAGATAACTAGATTTTTCAAGTCAGTGGAAATGTTGAAAATGATAAACATTGCAACCATCTGTTGCACGCATCGAAAATGCAAACCCGACATCTTTTTTGAAGCTAGTCATGGGAAAATGAAGTCCTCATCCTTCAAAGTTCTGTTCTCACTAGATTGAACAAAAACGATGAAAGATCTTCGAAGCACTTGCCTCCCATAAATGAAAATTAAAAGTTATCACGCACAAATTTGGCTTAGAAATGACTTTTTCGACCAAGAAACATCAAAACGATGTTAGAGAACAAAAACATGTGAAAACTGGGCCAACTTTAGCTGTCTTGCCAACTACGGCCAATGATTGCGCTGGCGCGCTCCACGGTTAACGTATCCCTCAACGTTTGCCGCGTACCGGATCTCGTCTTCTTCGTTCTTATCGATATAAGACATGTTGCACTTATGTTATTTCGAACAACACAGTCGTGTCAATGACTTCGCTTTCTAGTTCGATGCACATGAGTACCTGATGAGAAAGAGTTTGAATATAAGAAGCTGCCTGGTTTCTTGGGAAACGCTTTACAAGCATCATAAGGCCTTCCTCAACATCGATTACAACAAGACGTGAGTGGTTTTCCAGTTATTTTTCTTCTTTTGAAGGAATTTCACGTTTCTTTTCTGAACTTCGACTAATTTTGGGATTCTTTAGAGTCACTGTTCGCAAATTTTCGTTGATGGTATTGTACAAACACCTCGTGGGATGACAAAATAAAGTTGATGCTCAAGTGGAAAGCTGATAGGTAAAGTCTTTTTACTTGCTCTCATCAGTTTATTAACTTCTCACATTACATGAAACTCCGTTGCAGATATTCAAACCTCAATCCCAGTGTCTGGAACGTCAACGCAATGTTTGTAGATCAAATGCTCAGCTTGAAAAAGTTAAACTGGCAGGTTGGTCAACATTTTCAAGCCATAAGGTTCTTTCTTCAAAACTCGCAGTGAATTTCTTCTCATTGCAGACATGTATGTGGACGCTATTCTGTATGGCAATCAAAACGCATACTATGGGTGGTGATTTTACGGGTAAGAACCAGGTGAGCTTTACTCTCGGTATCCATTTGAGATAATTTTACGATTGTTTTTTTTTCAAGAACTGTGCTAGTGGAATTCATAAAATGACTGCCAGCGACGTATTCAAAATGCAACACTCACAGCAGTACAAGAAGCTGAATCTTTCTGTCAGCTGCAGCTTCTTTGAGATTTAGGCGGAAAAGTTGGTCTGCTTTTTCCAAAGACCTGCAGAGCCATGCTTTGCCTATAAGCTGCCATTGCAGGCGTTCGACCTTCTGAAGCAAAAAGCTTTTTTGCGAGTTCTTGAAGATGGCAAAAAAGAAGTACAAGTTGTTGGACTGGAAGAGGTTTTGAACTGCGAAAACGATGTGAGTTCCACTTTAATTGTTTTTTTTTTTGTAAATCTTTCTTAACTCACTGAACTCAAACAGCTCCTTTATTACACATTGTGCTTAGGTTCTTGATCTGATCCGGCAGGGCACGGATATGCGCCCTGCAGGAGCAACATCTGCAAATTCCAATTCGAGCAGATCCCATGCCGTCTTTCAAATAGTTTCGAGGAGGTATGGTTACGCAAATCAGTTGTAGTTACCCCTTATTTACACATTTTTAGGGGCAATAAATTATGGGGAAAGTTTTCGCTGATAGATTTAGCGGGTAACGAACGTGGTTAGGATACCAGTAATTCTGATGGACAAACCCGAATGGAAGGCGCAGAAATCAACAAGTCGCTGCCTGCTTTGAAGGTAAAGTTACACATCATGTTGTTACAAAGACGTTGTGATTTGATTTTCGTACTTTTGTTTTTATTGTTATCTATCATTGTTTTAGGAATGTATTAAAGCCATGGCAAAGAATAGCCAAGATGTGCCATTCCGAACCCCTAAGCTAAGATTGGTGTTACGGGATCGTTTATTGAAGAAAGCGCGCACTTGTATGGTAAATGCACTCTACTTTCACTCACTTGGGAAAGTTGAGGCCATGCGAATTAATTGTTTTTTTTTCTCAAGATTGCCATGATTAGTACGGGTATGGTATAGGATGCTGATCTTTCGCTTGTTTGTAGTAGAAATGTTAGTTGTAGATTGTATCGTATATGAAGTTCCTTGATCGGGGAGCTGATAAAACATTTGACATGATAAAAATCGTATCGAGTCTCACAGCTGCTGAAGATGAAGCCCTTTATAGCCATTATAATCTAGAGCAGGTGGAGTATTATCGTTATCGAGTTTTTTCTGCTTTGCAAAAACATCTGCCGTTGTACAGGAGATTTATTTGCCTATGGTAATGAATCGTTTAGAACATGAAGACATGGATGAAAGAACTGAGCAATTTGATCACTCGTTCACTGTGGATTGCGGTCAGGGAAAATACGTGCGCGACGCTCTTAATGTGGACAATAAGATGTTCAGCGGACTGTCGAAATGCAAGGGTAAGTATTTTTATGAATGGAAGCCTTTTCTTCAAATGAGCGTCTATCCTATTCTGTTGTTTTTCTGAAAAATTCTTGAGATATAATCACTACTTAGAGGTAATACTTTTGAATAATACTTGAATAATCTCGATGATTCTTAAAAAATACTAGCTGGATCTTTTATCTTTTTTTTCAGATCGATTAAACAGAAGGCAAGAGCTACAAGTGGCAGAAGCAGAGATGTCCAAAAAGCAACAAGAAATTCAAAATCCCCATCGTTAGCGCTTATCAAGTCCATATCCACTCACAGCTTTCGAATGCCATGTTTGTGCTCGTTTGAGATCTTCCTTATGTACACTTCATCTAGCTTATATTACGCGTTTTTCATGCTTTGTCGGGTTGATTGCGAAACTTCCGCTACTTTACAATCTGTGTTATAGTAATCGTACTGATTGATGTGCAAAAAGATTGGTTTTAAGAAATGCTTTCCTAACGGTATTCCTTGTGCATCTTCCAAACCTGAATTGGGAGCTTGCTTGCTTCTCTATTCTAATTTTATACTAATTTCTGTAACTCCACGCGTGTAGCATCAACTGCGCTCGTATGGCTTTGCATAACTTGAAGTTTTCCAATAATTTATTGTAGCTTTGATTGTTGCCTCCTGTTTGGCAGATTCTTCATGGAGATGTGCCACTTATTATGCTGTTTTGAGGAAATTCTACCAATAAGGTTGGTAGGTGCTGACTATCATTTTTTTTCAACTAATCGTTTGTCGAGGAAGCCATCTTGTATCATCGGATCCACGATTCGTGTGGAGGTGGAGTCTTGCCAACTCACCACGTAGCGGTTTTTGCTAGCGAGAGAGTACGAAAAGCAATGCTATGCCGTGGAGGTTCAACAAATTTACCTGTGTTAACAGGCAAAGTCTGCAATACACCTCCACACGAATCTGGGAGCCGATCATAGACTTTACATGGATAAATCGCATCTTATTTTCTGATTCTGCTTCGGTCTTTGAAGAGTAATGCCAAAGAAGTAAACGACATAACAAACGATCTATAAATTTTGTGCGGTTTTTTTCTTAGTAATGCATTCAACAGACATAGAGCGTTGAGTGATCTTACTGCTTGCAATGGCATTGATAAATAGGCGCTATAGGAGAAGCAAAGCACCCTCCAGGTATATATGAATATTTCTGATTTTGAAAAGTGAAGAGACTAACTGAGTTGCAAAGGACGTTAGCTTACATTTCGAACGGAACTGGGCATGAACTGTTGATGAGGAGAACTCTGCAATAGGCAAGGGACATACCTCACGCGATTTCAGTCGCCACGCGATCTGGCAATTTGCCAGATGTCTTCAAATTCAATACTGGTAGACCCCAAATGCACAGCATGTATAGCTTTCGTAGGTTGATAAAATGCCCCACCTTCCGTACATTCAAAAACTCCGTACGGTGAGTTAAGAACATTTGGAGTATCGCCAAATCGCGTGACGACTGAAATCGCGTGAGGTATGCCCGAGGCCATACGGCACCAGAGGTGGTCGAACACAGTGTTTCGATGCGGGTAAGCTTTATGTCCCATCACACAATAACACAATCGGAGTGGAACGTATATAATCGACGGGAGTGTCAATAGACTGTCTTTTTAGCTTTCCTCAAAATTCACAGGCAAAAAAATTCATCTAGCTGCAACATCAGCTAATTTCTGAAAGGAAGATAAAAGATAAAAAAAGAATTGGTCTACGTCTACTGGCAAAGTCTTTCTCTTTGAAACAGTTCGACAGTTAGGCAATCTCATTCATTTTTCAGAAATCTCCTGTAAGAACATGCATGTTTTCAAATAAAATACCATGTATCCCTGATAAGAGCGGTGCTTGATCGTTCCCTGAGCTTTCTGACGGTGTATAGATTGTCAAACGAAGTTGTGTGTCAGTGTAACGAAGTGTCAAACGGACTTTTGTTTGCTTCTCGGTGGAAGGTTGGGGGGGGGGGGGTAGGGCAAGGGTCAAAGGGGACTTCGTAAAATTTTCGAAAGTCAGAAGGGACTTTGTTTTCAAAAAGCTTAGAAACGAACTCGTGCCGGGCCCTGGTGTGGCTCCTACGTGGAAAGTAACCTTGAGGCCCTAAATAAGACTTTGCCCAAGTGGCAGTTTAGATAATGTACTCACGGCTAAGATATTGGGCTCCAAACTATGCTCCGTGACCGCATTCGCATAAATTCATGGCTTGGCACATCATCCGCATGGATCCTCGCGCGAAAGCGCCACGAATCCATCCGAATACGGTCACAGGACATAGTTTGAAGCCCAATATCTTAACCGTGGGTGCACTATCTGAACTGCCGCTTGGGCAGAGTCTTATTTAAGGTCTCAAGATTAGTTTTCACGTGAGAGCAAATTAGGTCCAGATCTGCCTGGACGCTGCCTTTGGGGGTCGCATGCACTAACATTCCTGCACGGGAAGGGAGCACATTTTAACACATTGACGACCGCTTGACACACATGGTGTATCAAACAATAATTACCGCGTGGGACCGCTTGACACACCATGCGTGTCAAGGTTTGAATTTTGTTAAAATGACTACTACCCGGGGGAGATTCACTCCACGAGCTTTCTCTTGCACTGAATCTAGGAATGACCTCTACATTTTTCTTCAGCCTTTCATATCTACTGTTGGTGTACTGCAGATGGCAGTATGCGTAATTGTATTTGAAAAATGTGGGCCGGCCCGTAAAAGGCCTTGGTCCCAGAAGCAAACAGCCAAAAATCTGCATGGTCGTCAATTCTGATGAACAGAACAACGCAAACGCCGGGAACACAAAACCACTAAACGGAATTACATTTATACTTTAAGAACACATACTTTAAGAACAAGAACAGAACGATTTTAGGCTGCTTAGTGATAGCTGACAAAAACTCATATAAATCTTGAGTATGAAAGTGTGCGATGTTGCGACTTCACAGGTTTTGTAGAGTTAAGTTTGTTTTATCAAAATATATTTTAGCCGTATCGATCCATTGAGATACCGCTGAGATTCAGGCTATTAGAAAGACAGGTAAAAACCGCTTTTCGAAACTCAACAGCTCATAACTTCTTCAGAATTGCATGAATCACGTTGGGACCTCATAAGTTGGATTCTCCTCCTCAAGAGCTTTCAGATAATGTAAGATATGTGGAGGTTTCGCTCCTCTCACGGCATATGTCCGGGGCGGACACTTTTCATCACAAAGGCCCGTAGTAAAGCTGCCTCAGTCGATCTCAACTGAATAAAATTTCAGTTAAGACTTCGACGAGTCAGCTTGCCTTCAGTCGAGCCATTGATCCATATCTTTCAGACGTATCATTCTCGAGAAGACCACGTATTGTCAACAAGTCAAAACACGCAGTTTACCCCATTCAATCGCCCTACTACTAGAAGTGGAAAAGTGGTCTGAACTTGTTAATGCATAGTGTAACTTTCTCTAGCCTGATTCTAAGAATGTACAACTCTAAGGGGAACGGATCTTACCTACGCGAACGACTTGCCGCCATAAGCATAGGGGCCATGAGGTGTCGCTATTAGCGCCTTATGCAGAACTGATCTCCACACACAGTAAGCCCCATGCTCATCCAACATCTCAAGTACCCCTAATTTTGCTGTAATTTCTAAGTGAAAGATATATGTCCGGTTAAGGTGAAAAGTTGTAACTAAGGCTTCTCTAAAATGCTATTCCCAAATATCAGCATCTCTGTTCAACTCACCAAATCTGCAAACTTTTTTTTTATGTAATTCTTACAATAAGTTTCATTGTGAATTTGGAAGAACTGGAAAAGAAGCGAAAAAATTTGCTTTGATTAGGGAAATTGGCTGAATCCAAAATTCGTCATATTAGTAAATTCCAACATATTCGATCCAAAAAAACACCAATGTCTAAAACTGAAAATGACTCGGGACTGATCAGCTCTGCATATAGTGCTAGTTAGTTTTGCTGACAACCCATGATACCGAAGGTACAATGCGGCAAGTCTTTTGGGTAGGTAATTTCCCTCACCCCAGCTCCAAACTCGCACGGGGAAAAATCCTTCCAGAAAAGCGAGTTCAAGTTGCAGTGCTAGAAGATCAATACTTTACATCGCCTGATTATTTCTTGCAATTTTGTGAGCGCAGAATTTCTTAACAAGTCGTTACTAACTTCTTTTGGTGATTATTGACCATCTCTCTAAATTCAAACTCCATTTTTGGTACTTGTCGTATATGATTGCCTTCGAAATTGCTTGCATCCTCTGTCGTACCAGGCAAGCAAATTCCCACTTCTCGTGAGGGTAGTCATACCACGAGCAATCAAACGACGCATCTCCACGCGATTTCGCTAGGTGATAGGGAAAAGTTCGAAAGGCTCACAAAGAATAACTAAAAAAGCATTTTGTTTTCAACTCATAATCCATGTGATCTCCAGCTAAACTGCCTTCCAATTGAGAAAATCTGTAGAGCCTGAGAACTTTACTTCTTTGGAGTATGAATCTAGTCTCTCAAACATCGATTGTTGAAATGAGCGCCTTTCGACATACACGAAATTATAAATGATAACAAATGCATTTCGTGATTACCTGATCACGTTATCTTTTTTGTTTCTCTCCCTCTTGAGTAACGAATCAGCATTTTGGAAGAAATGTTATTATCAACAGTTCATCGCTGAGCTCCTACATTTCATGGAATTTCTGTGAAAGTTCTGCATAGAAACCATCAACAACCTTTTAACTGAGCAAATTCGCATAAATCGCATAGTTGTTAACAAAAGCACAAGAATGTGGACGAATTCTCAATACCCCGCAGAAGTTGACATAGTCTTTAAAACAATTGCTTCCTACAAAAAATAAAACATTCCTACAAAAATAAAAACACTGCTGGCCCCGCATTCGGACTTGTCCCGATTTTCTCATGATAACGTCTGTAGTTCTAGGAGCACAATTACCTTCGAAACAGTGGAACAAATAACGGTTCATTGATAGGCACCAGTTGGCTAAACAGTAAAAATCTCAATCGATTTTTGAGATGCATATGATTAGATCCGAGACACCTAGAAAGCAGTGGTTAGACTGAGTTGACGATAAACGGCGCCAACAACAATGGGTGCCGACGTTGATCGTGAGACAGCTATCATACGTTCAGCGTAAGAGTAAAAAAAAAGCAGGTTTGCTTTAAGCCAAACATTCTGATGTTTTCGGTAAAATAAAAAGCAGTGATTCATCGTGTACCTTTTTTTCTAGTCAAAATCAGCAGTTTTCACTATTAACAGG